CCACCTGAGCAGTATCCACTGCACCCGATTTGTTGCCTTTTATCCCTCACTCCCTTCCCACCCTTTCCCCCGAGTCCCCAAAGTCCATTGTGTCATTCTTACGCCTCTGCATCCTCATAGCTTAGCTCCCACTTATGAGTGAGAACATGTGATGTTTGGTTTTCCATTCCTGAGTTATTTCACTTGGAATGATAGTCTCCAGTCCCATCCAGGTCGCTAGTAGTGCCTTTTGACTGTTCGCTGAGTGATGGAAATTTGTCACACTCTCCATCCCTTCTGTTGCTTTCCTTGTCAATGTATTGGGCATGACAAGGAGGGAAAGGAAAATGTCTCCTGACTACACAGAGTGCAGTCATTGTGCTGTGAAAAATGTCCTGGTAGCCCTGAGCAGGATGGCCACCCCTCTTCCTTACAAACGCATTCCTCCTCTAAACAAGCCAGTCTCACTGATTCGTGGTTCTGTGGCATCTCCAGTGGATTTGACTCATTGTTAAACATGCCTTCCCAGGTGTTTTAAACAGGGGTAGATTTCTCTGCACTAATGCTGAGCGTTGCTTCTTCATCTCTTTTCCTGAGAACTTTAGCTTTACCTTGGCCTTTTGAGATTATTGGGACTGATATGTAGAAACCTGTGTGTTTTGCTGTTCTTGCAACCAGGCAAGCATTGGAGATGTGTTAATATTTTGGTGTCTATGGGACTAGAGCAGTTACGGGCAATAGTACCTTTGAAGATAGCATTCACGATGGTTCCTGCCTGGTTATAGGCAGAATCCCTATGTTCCATGTGTTTTTCCACTGAGACTTTTTTTTTTCCTTTCCAACTTTCATTTTAAGTGCAAAGGATGGATGTGCAGGTTTGTGACATGGGTAAATTGTGGGCCGAGGGGGTTTGGTGTACAGATAATTTTGTCACCCAGGTAATCAGCATAATACTCAGTATGTAGTTTTTCAGTCCTTATCCTTCTCTCACCCTCCACCTTGCTCAAATAGGCCCCAGTGTGTATTGTTCTCTTCTTTGTCTCCATGTGTACTCAATGTTTAGCTCCCATTTATAAGTGAGAACATGCAGTATTTGGTTTTCTGTTCCTGCGTTAATTCACATAGGATAATAATGGCCTCCAGCTCCATTCAGGTTGCTGCAAAGGACATGATTCATTCTTTTTTATGGCTGTGTAGTATTCCATGGTGTATATGTACCACATTTTCTTTATCCAGTCCACTATTGATGGATATCTAGGTTAATTCCAAGTGGTTTCTTATGCATCCCTGAGACTCTTGAGCACAGGAGGTGGAGGTGGTAGGGCCCTGCGGCTGCTCTTCCTGCTGCGGTATACAGGCAAACAGATGAGGTGTTTAAACACCACCACCAGTAGCCACTTAAGTTGTTTTAGCCTGCAGTAATAAACTTGATCATGAGAGAGTGTTAATTTTGATTTATTACTGTTTTTTTCCACAAATGGATATGGAGATACCCGTCTTCCCTAACTCTCCGGATTAGTCTGCTAGGGCTGCATAACAAACTACCACACACTTAGTGTCTTTTTTTTTTTTTGAGATGGAGTCTCGCTCTGTTGCCAAGTTCGAGTGCAGTGGCGCAATCTCGGCTCACTGCAACCTCTGCCTCACAGATTCAAGTGATTCTCCTGCCTCAGCCTCGTGAGTAGCTGGACTATAGGTGTGTGCCACCACAACCAGCTAATTTTTGTATTTTTAGTAGAGATGGGGTTTCACTATATTGGCCAGGATGGTCTCTACCTCTTGACCTTGTGATCTGCCCGCCTTGGCCTCCCACAGTTAGTGTCTTGAAACAACAGAAATTTATCCTCTCACAGTTCTGGAGGCTAGCAGTCTGAAATCAAGGTGCCAGCTAGGCCACACACCATCTGGAATCTCTAAGGGAAGATCCTTCCTGGTGGCTTCCAGGAATCCTTCGCATTCCTTGGCTTGTAGCTGCCTCACTCCAGTTCCTGCCTCCATCACCATATAGACTTCTCTGTGTTCCTCTGTGCATACTCTCCTCATCTTACAAGGACACCAGTCATTGGATTTAGGGCCTGCCCTAATCCCATATGATCTTATATTAATTACAAAATTTACAATCTGCAAAGTTCCTATTTCTGAATCAGGTCAGATGCTAGGGCTGTGAATGAACATTAATTTTGGGAACATTTTTCAACCCACTACACCCTCCTAGTAATTTTTCTGTTTTTCGGCAAAGTGGCAAGCATTTCAAACAGTTTTAGTTAATTACCATGTTGTTTGCTAGCAAAAATAGTTTTATTTATAAGAAGCAGCTGAGCAGTCACCTAAATTGAGGACTGTGTTAGGGGCTACAGTTGTGTCAGTCTGGGATGACTGTCATTAGTACTCGCGTCACTGTGGTAAGTGTCGTAGTTATTGATTGCAGACTTAGTTCATTGAAGTTGATGATGAAAGGGAACTATTTTGTTCCCATGCCTTCCCATTGGCAAATCAGCTCCTCCTTGTTCCTAGATCTACTTGAAGAGTCTAAATTGCATGCTAGCAGATACTGTGAAAGACTTGAATCACAATTTGATACATTGTAACAGAGCATGCAGCGAACCACCTAAAGCAGTGTAATGTAAGAACTGTTAAGCAAGAAACAGTGTAGGAGAGTGTGGCCGTTACATGGGAGAGTTCCACAGTTTTAAATGCTTTCATTGATGCCACGGTGAATTCTCGGTAATTGTCTTACTTTTATAGAGTAATAAAACTGACTCAGAATGTTTGTCAGATTCTAGATATTCCTGGGAAGAAAACTGCTGCCAGCCATTATTTTGACATGTAGCTTTTCACGTTTGCAGTGTGTCTGTTTATAATTAATAAAAGTTTATTAATATAACATTAAGCATTTAAGGCCTTGGAAATATTGTAGCCCTGCAGATGAAGGAGGACTAGCCAATGGCTTCGTCTGTGATAGTTTCTAAGCACAACAGTCCCCTACTTACAATGGTTTGACTGAAGATTTTTTTTTAGTTTACAATTATGTGAAAGTGATATGCCTTCGGTAGAAACTGTGGTTTAAGTATCCATACAACCACTCTGTTTTCCACTTTCAGTTCAGTATTCAGTAATTTACATGATATAGTCAACACTTTATTATAAAATAGGCTTTGTGTTGTTAGATGATTTGCCCAGCTACAGACTAACGTAAGTGTTCTGAACATGTTTAAGGTACGCTAGGCTAAGCTGTGATATTGGGTAGGTTAGGAGTATTAAATGCATTTTCGACTTAATAAATAGTATTTTCAACTTATGATCGATTTATCAGGACAGGACCTAATCCCATGCTAAGGAGCATCTGTACCTGGAAATGCTTAGAAGATAATGTGCACTTCTGCCCACATGGTTTACATTTGCAAGACAGTACATTAGCTATGCTTCGAGAAAGCGTGGTTCTTTTAACTTCTGCCAGTTAACTAAGGACCCTTTTGATTCACAGGAAAAGGAAAAACTAAGATGTGAGCGGGGTTGTCCCAGCTTCTTGCGTTTTCGGAGCAAATAGTAGACAGGTGTGTGATTGTCTTTTTGAACAAAAAAAAGGAGATAAATCCCTCTCCCCACAGACTCCCCTGATATCGTTCTGACTTATTAGAGCCTATTTATTGGTACCTTTCAGATGCGGTGTATGGCTTACCTGATATTGAGGCTTTTATCTTGGCAACTGATGCCTTAGGATTTTCATTTCCTTTGAACTTTTATCTGAAGCCCTTCCTAGAAAAAGGTCTTGCCATTGTACTGGCTCTGTGTAGATCTCAATTCTTATTACAGTGGTAGACATTGCTCTTTCTTGCCTCCTTTTAAGCACTGCCTAATTTCCTATACTTCTTGTCTCTAAGTGGGTGCACAGTGGAGTGCCTCAGAGCTTGGAGTCTGGAGCAGGGCTTCCTGGTTGTGCCACTTATTTTGCTGGTAACTTAACCTACCTCCAAGATTGGATGGAGAATACCTGAGTTAATATTTGTAAAGTGTTCAAACTGTGCCTGGTTCATAGTATGCATGTGTGTCTTTTTCTTTCTTCAAGATAAACCATGTTCTATATCTTGATTGTGGTAGCGGTTACATGACTATATATGTTTGTCAAAACTCATTGGAACTGTGCACTTAAAAAGGATGAATTTTACTGTATATTAATTATATCTTAATAAACCACACCTAAATTTTTTGTTAAGGCTAACAAACAAACTCTTTCATTCAATCAGCAAAGTGTTTATTAAGTGTTACACAGTGGGATTATAAAAACATATAATTCTGGCCTGGCATGGTGTTGCATGCCTGTAATCCCAGCACTTTGGGAGGCTGAGGTAGGAGGGTCACTTGAGCCCGGTAGTTCAAGACCAGCCTGGGCAATAGAGCGAGACCCTGTCTCTACAAATAATAATTTTTAAAAATTAGCTGGGCGTGGTGGTTCATGCCTGTGGTTCTAGCTACTTGGGAGGCTGAGGAGGGAGGATTGCTTGAGCCCAGGTGGTCAAGGCTGTAGTGAGCTGTGATCATGCCACTGCACTCCAGCCTGGGTGACAGAGGGAGACCCTGTCTCAAAAAAATTTTTGTTTCAAAAAAAAAAAAAACAAAAACATGTAATTCAAAGACGCTTGCCAGTGTAGATGAATAAACTAATTATAACACAGGATAAATTTGCTTATTAGCATGACATGGTAAGAGGTGCGGCCAAGCAGCTTATTAGTCATCCAGGCAAGAAATGCTGTAGGGACTTAGAGGCAGGATTGCTTTCTGTAGTCAAGAAGACTTCACCAAAGAGTGGGAACTTGAGGTGGACCTTAGAAGATGGGTAGGATTTAGGGAGGTGGGCATTTGGGAGGGCCCATGAATACAGATACAAAGCCTAGGGGTGGAAACACATGTGGAGAGTTTAGACAACCATGAGAGAGCTGGTTGGATCAAAGTGGATTCTCTCCCACTGTGTAAGGGGCAGCTTTGCCTTCTGGTCTAACACAGCCTTTTTTCTTCATCCGTAGAAAGGTCCCCCTTCTGGGAAAGACCGGGTGAAGAAAGGTGGATCCTACATGTGCCATAGGGTAAGTCATGTCACTAAACTATTTTGTCGTTCTTGTTCTGATAGCAGTTTTATGGATCCATTGTAAATGATAGCCCCGAATGTCTCATTCACTTCTGCAAATGCATACCTAACCCCACTGAAACCAGAAAAAAAGGAGGATAGTCATCTCAAATTTGGTTACAAGCACGGAGAAAAGTAACACAAGTAGCAGAGGTTGTGAATGACGTATTGTCAACCACATTTCATCTATTGAATCTTGCCCCTTTGAGAGACCTGTGTTGTCTCGTGAACTGCATCGGGGTGAGTGTATATACCTTTTCCAGCATGTGAGTCTGAAAGCACACCCTTAATTTATTTGAGAATCCTGTACATTTCTGGATTTTTTGTTGAGATTCAGGTGAGAGTTATATATGGAGGGCAGATTGTGATATACTGAAATGGAAGCATCCCGTGTTCTGGGTACAAAGTGTGCCTTGTGAAATGAGCATCATTCCCAGAGTGTTTCTTCTCTTCGGGCTATGATTTTAGTGTCTGAGCTGGCTTTCTTCATCAGTTAGAGTGACTTGGTGTTTCATAAATAACCTTTATAAGGAATTTGGAAATAGAATACCATCCCTTCCCTTTTTTCTTTGAGTCATATATTTTTCACATCTCCTGAACTCCAGCTTTCTCTCCCTGTGCAGAGATGGCATTTTGCAGATTGTTATTGCCGCAAAGCTTCCCCTAGTAATTTATTCAGTCCAGGTGGTTAGAGACTTAAAACCACCTATAATGGCTCCAAATTAAGTTACTAATTTGATAATGATGGCATTATCGAATTTTGTCTTAAAACAGTGGTTCTCAAACTTTATTCCACATTGTAATCATCTGGGATCTATATAAAATACTGATGTCTGGTTCCTCACTCACCCCCATTCTGATTTGATTTTTCTTCAGTGTGAGCTGGGCATTGCATTTTTTAAAGCTGTCCAGGTGATGAAAACATATGTCCAAGTTTGGGAATCACTAGCCTAAAGCAAATCTCTCTAGATTATATATATATGTGAGTTTGTATGTATGTGTATCTTCTGTATTTCTTAGGATTTTTAATCCAGTGATTCAGGTAGAAGTTCATAAAGCAGAGCTCAATTGATGCTTTAGACCTACACTGATAATAAGATGTAGACCAATTTATCTTCATAAAATCTTTTTTTTTTTTTTTTTTTTTTTTTATTTTTTTTTTGGTGACAGGGTCTCACTCTTCATCCAGACTGAGGTGCAGTAGCACAATCACAGTTCACTGCAGCCTCGACTTCCTAGGCTCAAGTGATCCTCCCATCTCAGCCTCCCAAGTAACCTGGCTAATTTTTAAATTTTTTGTAGAGATGGGGTCTTGCCGTGTTGCCTAGGCTGGTCTTGAACATTTGGGCTCAGAAAATTCTTCCTGCCTTTGCTTCCCAAAATGTTGGGATTCACTGCGCCTGGCCTAAAATTCTAGTTTTAATTTTAAATTAAAAGCGTTGTCCCAGGTCTTCCCAATATATTTATATGTTCACATATACATCAGAGTCTTTAATCCCAGACTGTTTCTCTATTTGAAGTTGTTGCTACAAATGTACCTGGATCTTCTTGCCAGGGAACCAGGCTTCCATGGAAAACAGGTGAATCTCTCTTTGTACAGTAGTGTCTCAAAATCCTAATTGTCACCAGTTATGTCTCTGACATATGGCACTTTTCTAAATTGAGAATCCATTTACTTTCTAAGTAATTGAGGACCAGAAGATTTTTCTTCAAGAATAAATGGGGTAACAGAAGCTTGTAAAAAACATTTTAAGCAAGTAAAGAACATTAACTATCCTAATTCCATGCATAGGAATGTATCTACTTGCATGTTTATAATTTTTAGCTTACTTGTAATCTACATTTTTATAAGCTTCCCAGTAGATTCTTTAAAAATATCTTTTAACCTCCTACATGCTTTATTAAGTATGCTTACATGGTACTGATTTTTGTATGTTCATCTTGTATCTTGCAACCTTGCAAAACTCATTTATTAGTCCTAGTAATGTTTTTGTAGATTGTATTATATTTTCTACATAGGTGATCATATGATCTGTGAATGTTGACAGTTCTTCCTTTCTAATCTAGATGCCTTTTATAACTTTTTCTTGCTGTATGTCATTGGCTAGAACTTTCAGTATAGTGTTGAATAGGAATGATAAGAGTAGACATTCATACCTCATTCTTGATCTTAGAGAATAAACATTCAGTTTTTCAAAATCAGATATGTGTTAGCAATAGCTTTTTCATAGACGCCCTTTACAGCTTGAGAAAGTTTTTTTCCATTGCTAATTTTTTGTGAGTTTTTTTTTTAATCAGCAATGGATGTAGATTTTGCTGGGTGCTTTTTCTGCATCTATTGAGATGATAATATGATTTTGCTTTTTCTTTTTTCTTTCTTTCTTTCTTTCTTTATTTTTTATTATTATATTTTAAGTTCTAGGGTACATGTGCATAATGTGCAGGTTTGTTACATATGTATACTTGTGCCATGTTGGTGTGCTGCACCCATCAACTCGTCAGCACCCATCAACTCGTCATTTACATCAGGTATAACTCCCAATGCAATCCCTTCCCCCTCCCCCCTCCCCATGATAGGCCCCGGTGTGTGATGTTCCCCTTCCGGAGTCCAAGTGATCTCATTGTTCAGTTCCCACCTATGAGTGAGAACATGTGGTGTTTGGTTTTCTGTTCTTGTGATAGTTTGCTAAGAATGATGGTTTCCAGCTGCATCCATGTCCCTACAAAGGACACAAACTCATCCTTTTTTATGGCTGCATAGTATTCCATGGTGTATATGTGCCACATTTTCTTAATCCAGTCTGTCACTGATGGACATTTGGGTTGATTCCAAGTCTTTGCTATTGTGAATAGTGCCGCAATAAACATACGTGTGCATGTGTCTTTATAGCAGCATGATTTATAATCCTTTGGGTATATAACCAGTAATGGGATGGCTGGGTCGTATGGTACATCTAGTTCTAGATCCTTGAGGAATCGCCATACTGTTTTCCATAATGGTTGAACTAGTTTACAATCCCACCAACAGTGGGAAAGTATTCCTATTTCTCCACATCCTCTCCAGCACCTGTTGTTTCCTGACTTTTTAATGATTGCCATTCTAACTGGTGTGAGATGCTATCTCATTGTGGTTTTGATTTGCATTTCTCTGATGGCCAGTGATGATGAGCATTTTTTCATGTATCTAAAACATGTCTAAAACACCAAAATGTCTAAAACACCGAAAGCAACGGCAGCAAAAGCCAAAATGGACAAATGGGATCTCATTAAACTAAAGAGCTTCTGCACAGCAAAAGAAACTACCATCAGAGTGAACAGGCAACCTACAGAATGGGAGAAAATTTTTGCAATCTACTCATCTGACAAAGGGCTAATATCCAGAACCTATAAAGAACTCAAACAAATTTACAAGAAAAAAACAACCCCATCAAAAAGTGGGCAAAGGATATGAACAGACATTTCTCAAAAGAAGACATTCATACGCCAACAGACACATGATTTTGCTTTTTCTATCTGTTCATATGGTGAATTACATTGATTTTCAAATATTAAGCTATCCTTGCATTCCTGGGATACGTATCATTCCACTTAGTCATGATGTATTTTTTTATACATTTTGGATTTGATCTGCAAAAATTATGAGTGAGTATTTTTGCATCTAGTTTATTCTGTGTTTTCTTGTAATATCTTTGTCTGATTTTGGTTTCAGGGTATTGCTGTCTTCATAGATTGAGTTAAATATTAACTTATTTTACATTTTTTGCAAGAGTTTATGTAGAATTAGTGTTATTCTTGAAATGTTTGATAGGATTCCTTGGTGAATGCATTTGGGCCAAGAGTTTTAACTATTAATTAAGTTAGAAAACAGGATCGAATTTCTGAACTCAAGCAATTGTCCTGCCTCAGCCTCCCTAGTGGCTGGGAGTATACATATGAGCCAGTATGCCGATTTTTTTTCTTTTACTATAGGCCTAATTTTTAAAATAGACGTGGGACTATACAGCTTATCTGCTTCTTCTTGAGTACATTCTGGTAGTTTGTATCTTTTAAGGAATTTGTCCATTTCATTTGATTTATTGTATTTATTGGCATAATCTCTGCCTTTCTTTGGGTGTTTAGACTATTTATATTTAACGTGGGTTTTGATATGGTTGGGTTGAAATGTGCCATCTTGATTTTTTTTCCTCTTTGTCTCACCTGTTCTTGTTCTCTGTTTGTCTTCCTTTTGATTGCATACTTTTTATCACCCCATTTTCTCTCCTTAATACTTATTAGCTGTAACTCTTTGTTTTATAATTTTAGTATTAATTTAAAGTTTATATTACGCATTTTTATCTTTTCTTAGCCTACCTGAAGGATTTGTTTTAATTTAGTTAGGTTCCATATGATGGGGATAACATTTCAGAAGAGGAGAAGAGCAGAGTGACAAAACTGAGTGGGATCCACAGGATTTTCCATAGAAAAATGGCACTTCCAGGATCTTGGTCAAGTGAATTGTTTATTAGGTTGGTCTTTAACATCAGTCTGATTATATCTGTAAGATCAAGAAAATAGCACAGTGTTGATTGTGAATTATTTTCAGAGTGCTTAGCCTTTCCAGTAGATTAAGAGTGACAGCTTTTACTAAATTATTGGGATGTGGATTAGGGAATTACATCTGGATTGGAGTTCTATATCTGTTTCTTGCCAGGTATGTGACCTTGGGGAAATTACTTAATCTTTCCAAGCCTCAGTTTTCACATTTGTAACATGCTATAATTATACCCATTATAAGGTTCTGGTGAAGATGCTATAATTATACCCATTATACCCATTATAAGGTTCTGGTAAATGAACCAACATATATAAGTTCTTGGTACAGTGCTTAGCTTGTGGTAAAGGCTCAGTAAAAGTTAGTTGCTCCTATCAGCATCATCTTTATTGTAATTAGATTATTTCCCCTCTTCTTTTCTGAAGAAG